GTTCCAACTCATAGCCACCCTGTACAGAGTTTCCGAGGCTGTAAATCTTTACGGGAGCAGAACGCCACATCTTTCTCCTGCGGTACAGCTGGTAGTTTCAAACTGCTGACCCACACTATAGGACAGAATAAAACTGTTCCATAGGGTTTGTTGTTATTGTTGTTAAGTGCCACTGAGTCGGTTCCAACCCATAGTGACCCTGTATAGGTCCTTTCCGAGGAGCAACTGGGGAGGTTGAACCACTGACCTTGCGGTTCAAACTGATTTTGCAGTCCAACACATTAACTCACAGTACCACACCATTGAGTCTATAGGGTTTACAAGGCTATAATATCTAGACGGAAGTAGACTGCTACATCTTTCTCCTGCAAAGTGACTGGTGGGTCGGAACCTCCAACATTTCTGTTGGCAATCAATAACTGTAACAATTGCACCACTAGGTTGTTGTTAGGTGCCATCGAGTTGGTACTGTCTCATAGCAACCCTATGCACAACAGAATGAAGCACTCCCGGTCCTGGGCCAACCTCACAATTGTTGCCACACTTGAGCCCATTGATGTTACCACTTTGCCAATCCATCTTTCTGGGGGTCTTTCTCTTTTTCTCTGACAATCCACCTTACCTAACATGATATCCTTCTCCAGCAACTGGTCCCTCCAGACAATATGTATGAAGTATGAGAGACGAAGTTTGGCCATCCTGGCCTCCAACGAGCACTCTGGCTGTACTTCTTCCAACACAGATCTGTTTGTTCTTTTGGCAGCCCATGGTATTTCCAATATTCTCCTCCAACACCATAACTCAAAAGCATCCATTCTTCTACTGTCTTCCTTATTCACTGTCCAGCTTTTGCATGCATATGAGGTTATTGAAAATACCATGGCTTGGGTCAGGCATACCTTAGTCCTCAAGCTGACATCTTTGTTCTTCAACACTTTAAAAAGGTCTTGTGCAGCAGATTTGCCTAATGCACCACTATAAAGACTCCTTATAAGGTTAGGGTGAAGGTTAAATGAAATGGTACATAGTAAACACCTAGCATAGTTCCTGCAATGTAACATCCATTGTTGTTAGTTGCCCTCCAGTCAGTTCTGACTCATAGTGACCCTAGTTACAACAGAACAAAGCATTGGATATCCTGCACCATCCTTACAATTGTTACTGCCACTATGTTAATCCATCTCCTTGGAGGTCTTCTACTTTTTGCTGACCCTCCTCTTTACAAAGCATGATGTCCTTCTCAAGGGATTGGTCCCTCCTGATAACATGTCCAAAGTATAGGAGATAAAGTCTCACAATCCTGGCTTCTAAAGAGCATTTTGCCTGTACTTCTCCCAGCGCAGATTTATTTGTTCTTCTAGCAGTCCATAGCACTTTAAATTTTTCTCTAACACCATAGTAGAAGGCATGGATTCCTCTAAGGTTTTCTTTATTCATTGTCCAACTTTCAAATGCATATGAGACTATTGAAAATACCATGGCTTAGGTCAGGGCAAACCTTAGTTCTCCAACTGACATCTTTGCTCTTAAGCATCTGCCTAATATAATATGTCATTTGATTTCTTGACAGCTGTTTCCATGAATGTTGATAGTGGATCAAAGCAAAGTTATCATGATGTTATTTATTTGGTCCCATTTTGAGGAATTTTATTTTTTACATTGAGTTGCAACCCATACTAATGTGGTCTTGGATCTTCATTAGTATTTTAAGTCCTCATTGCTTTCAGCAAACAAGCGTAATTTTTTAGGCAGATCTGTTACACAATATCTCTGTATCTTCTGCTTTTCACAGGTTGTTAATGAGTCTTCCTTCAATCCTGATGCCATGTTCTTCTTCATATAATCCAGTTTCCCAGATTATTTGCTCAGCATACAGATTGAATAAGAATACAAATCTGGTGCATACCTTTCCTGATTTTAAACCATTCAGTATCCCCTTGTTATATTCGAACAACTGCCTCTTGGTCTATGCACAATTAAATGTTCTGGATTACTCATTCTTTGCAATGTTACCCATAGATTGTCATGGTCCACACAGTCGAAAATCTTTGTATAGTCAGTAAAATACTGAAGGAAGAAGTTCCAGATGCATTGAATGCGTTGGCAAAGAGCAAGGCTCCAGGAATTTATGGTATACAAATTGAAATCTTTCAGAAAACTGATGCAGCATTGGAGGCACTCACTCATTTATGCCAAGAAATTTGGAAGACAGCTTACCTGGCCAATTGATTGGAAGGGAGCCCATCCCAAAGAGAGATGACCCAGGGGAATGCGGAAATCATCAGACAGTATCATTAATATCACATGCAAGTAAATTTTTCTTAAAGATAACTTAAAAACAGCTGCAACAATTCATTGATAGGGAACTGCCAGAGGTTCAAGTCGGACTCAGATGAGAATGTGGAACAAGGGATATCATACCAGAAAGATGTTTACCTGTGCTTTATTGACTACGCAAAGGCTTTCCACTGTGTGGATCATAACAAGCTATAGACAACATTGCAAAGAATGAGTATTTCAGAACACTTAATAGTGTTCATGAGGAACCTGTACATAGACCAAGAAACAGTCATTCGAACAGATTAAGGAAACACTGAATGGCTTAAAATCAGAAGAGGTATGCTTCAGGGTTGTATTTATTCACCATACTCATTTAACCTGAATGCATAGCAAATAATTCAAGAAGCTGGATTGTATGAAGAAGAGCATGGCATCAGGATTGGAAGAAGACTCATTAACAGCCTACTATGTGCAGATGATACAACCTTGCTTGATGTAAGCGGAGGATTTACAATACTTACTGATGAAGATCAAAGACCGTGTGTTACACTTCAGTATAAAGAAAACAAAAATCCTCACCACTGGACCATCATGATAAATTGATGGAAGAAGTTGTTAGAGTTCTTCAGTTTCTTCATCACTGGCTTTAGTGGTTGGTGCATGTGAGAAATAACTCTTGTGGGCATGGTCCAGCTTCAGAAATTCATGAGATTGCTAGATCTGGCAGACAGATTGTTGAAACAAGCAGGCCCAGGCCGTTCTAGGACTAGGAAATTTAAATAAGAGTATAGCTCTGGTAGCGTAGTGGTTACGAATCCGGCTGCGAACTGGAAGGTCAGCAGTTCGAAACTACCAGCTGCTCCGCGGGAGAAAGATGAGGCGATCTGCTCCCGTAAAGATTTACAGCCTCGGAAACCCTATTCAGGGTCGCTATGGGTCAAAACCGACTTGACGGCACTTAACAACAACATAGCCATTAAGACCATGGGTAAAAGTCATTTTGACTTCTCTGTGGGGAGGGAAAATGGGATGTGCCATAGAATTGTATATGTGGAACTGGAGGAGGGGCTTTTTGGAGACAAGAATAAATACCATCTGTGGAGGGCCATGTGGCTCGGCTGCCTGTGTCTACTGGATTGGGCACCTGATTTTGCAAAATCGATTAAAGAAAACCTCACTCTCACTAAAATGAGTACATATTGGATTGAGTGTCTGTCAGTATAGACAAAGTTTCTCACAGTGCATAAATTTGGATAAGAGTTGTATTAACTGGTCCTTCTTGTAAGCATATGGATAGTGGTGGCTGGTGGCTGTATGCTGTGGAGCCGTTTCCGACTCATAGCAACCCTGTACAGGGTTTCCAAGGCTGTAAATCTTTACAGGAACAGGAAGCCTCATCTTTCTCGCGTGGAACCGCTGGTAGTTTAGAACTGCTGACCTTGTGGTTCACAGCCTGATTGTAACCACTACGCTACCAGAGCTCCTCAAAGTAGAATTCCCCATGATGATGCAAATGGAGTAAAGCTTTTAGGGACCTTCATTTGCTGATGGGGCACAACTCAAAATAAGGAGAAAAAGTTGTAAATATCTATTAATAATCAGAACATGGAATGTGTAAAGTAGGAAGATAGGAAAATTAGAAGTTGTCAACAATGAAATGTAACATAAAGATCAATATCCTAGGAATTAATGAGTTGAATTGTAGTGGTTATTGGCCATTTAGAATCAGAAAACTACATGGTTTACTATGCTGAGAATGACAAGTTGAAGAGGAATGGCATCGCATTCATAATAGAAAAGAACATTTCAAGACCTACCTTGAAGTACAATGCTAATTATGATAGGGTACTATCCATATAGTACCAACTTCCAATTTTCCTACCTTCCTACTTTATATATTCCATGTTTAGATTATTAATAGATGTTTACAACTTTTTCTCCTTATTTTGAGTTGTGCCCCATCAGCAAATGAAGGTCCCTAAAATCTTTACTCCATTTGCATCATCATGGTGAATTCTACTTTGAGGAAACAGCTCATCCCCAGTTGTCTTTTGAGTGCCTTCCAACCTGAAGGACTCATCTTCTGGCACCTTATCTGACAGTATTCTGATGTTATAGTATAATGTTTTCATCTTCTGGCACTATGTCTGACTATGTTCTGCTATTCATAAGGTTTTCAGTGGCTAAGCATTCAGAAATAGTCTATCTCTTTTTCTTCCTAGCGTGTCTTAGTCTGGAAGTTCAGCTGAAACCTGCCTATCCTTAGGGTGATCCTGCATCACAGTAACACACAAGCCACCACACCTCTACAAACAAAGAGTGGTGTAGTGATGGGAGTAAGGGCTACCATTTTAGATTGAGTAGTCAGGGAATGCCAAACCCTCTCTAACGAGGTAACTTGAGGGGAGACCTGAGACAAGTGAGGGAGTAAGTCATAGGTATTTGGGGGAAGAATGTTGTAGGCACAAAGTATATACACTTCAAAAGCCTGAGACAGGAGCAAGCATGACTTAACTGAGGAACAATAAAGAGCCAAGTGGGGCTGGATTGGGGTGAATTGACATCTGTTTTAAAAAGATCACTCCGGTTGTATGGATGAATAAATGAGTGTGGCTTTGCTGAGTGGTGCTCAGTAGTCTTTGAGGACATGGACTTCATGGTTTTGATGCCCGTGGTGTCCTGATCTGGAATTTGATATTAAGGTACTCTTCTTTTTTCAGGCTTGGCAGCTTAGGTGTCCTGGAGTACTACCTGATGGACGCTGCCTCCTTGCTGCCCGTGCTGGCCCTTGGCCTGCAACCTGGGGACACCGTGCTTGACCTGTGTGCTGCCCCTGGGGGAAAGACATTAGCATTACTGCAGACTGGCTGTTGCCGTAAGTTGGGGATTGTTGGTGTCTTGGGCAGGGAGGATTTCCCACCTTAACTAGTCAGGGGCACACTGAATGGGCTGTTTGGTACCAAGGTCAGAGAAGGGGACAGTGCTTGCTTGCTAAGATAGTGTATTTTTTCTCAGCTTGTAATGATGAATGACCTCTTCCCATTCTCAGTCTGCTCACCAAGTCAGATTCTTGGGCAGGGTCTCTGAAAGCAAATGAAAGTAGGACCCTGATCAGTCTCATGATCTCTTCACCCCTCTGCCTTCACTTACTTTGACTCCAAAATTAAGTTCCATTTCTTGAAAGGAAAACAAACACATTGCCATTGAGTCCAGTGATTCTATAGAATAGGGTAGAAATGTCTCACAGGGTTTTCAAGGCTGTAAATCTTTATGGAAGTAAACTGTCACATCTTTCTCCTATGGAGCAGCTAGTGGATTTGAACTGCTGACCTTTCAGTTAGCAGCCAGACATTTTAACTGTTATACCACCGAGGCTCCTTTCCATTTTTTATCCACTGCCAATGGATAAAGATGTTTGCCTGTGCTTTATTGATTATACAAAGACTTTTGACTGTGTAAATCATGATTAGGTATGGATAACATTGCAAAGGATGGGTATTCCAGAACATTTAATTCTGCTCATGAGGAATCTGAACCAAGAGGCAGTTGATGGAATAGAACAAGGGGACACTGAATGGTTTAAACTCAGGAAAGATGTGCACCAGGGTTGTATTCTCTCACTATGCTTATTCAGTTTGTATGCTGGGCAAACAATCTGAGAAGCTAGATTATATGAATAATTATATGGCATCAAGATTGGAGGAAGACTCATTAACAGTTTACGCTATGCAGATGATTCAACATTGTTTCATGAAAGTAAAGAGGGCTTAAAATACTAACTGATGAACATCAAAGACCACAGTTTTTGCTATAGGTTGCACCTCAGTGTAAAGAAAACAAATTCTCACCACTGAACTAATAAATAACATCATGATAAATGGAGAAAATATTAAAGTTTTCAAAGACTTCATTTTGCTTGGTTCCATCATCAATACTCTTGGAAACAACATCAAGAAATCAAACAACATATTACATTAGGCAAATCTGTGGAACAAGACCTCTTCAAAGTGTTCAAAAGCAAGTTTGAGGACTAAGGTTCACCTGATATAAATCATGGTAGGCTCATATCCATGTGAAACTTGGACAATGAATAAGGAAGATTATAGAAGAAATGATGTATTTGAATTATGGTATTAGAGAAGAATATTAAAAGTACTGTGGACTGCCGGAAGAACAATCAAATCTGTGTTGGAGGAAGTACAGCCAAAATATGTCTTGGAAGCCAGGATGATGAGACTTAGTCTCTCATGTGTCAGACATATTATCAGGAGGGACCGGTCCCTGGAGAAGGACATTATGCTTGGTAAAGTGGAGAGTTGGAGAAAAAGAGGAAGACCCCTAGTGAGATGGATTGGCGCAGCAGTGGCAGCAATGGTCTCAAATGTAACAAATGTGAGGATGGCACAGGACTGGGCACTGTTTTGTTCTGTTGTGCATACGGTTGCTATGATTTGTAACCCCGTATAGGGTTTCCAAAATGGTAAGTCTTTACAGGAACAGATAGCCTTATCTTTCTCCTGTGGTAGTTCTTTTTTTAAAAAGAGTTTATTGTGAATTGAGTGAAAGTTTATAGAGCAGATCATCAGTTTTTCATTCAACAAATCATGTACTTTCTTTGTTTCATTACAATGATTATAATCCCCTCCATGTATCATTAGTTAACAGTATTTCTCTCTCACTGTAGCTCATTTTTTTTTTCAAACATTCAGGCATATATAATAATTTAAACCACCATATATAATAATTTAAGCCTGCCTCCTGGCCACCAAACTCTCAGTCTTTCTCTTTCCAAGAATTTAGAATCATTAGTTGCTCCCTCTCTCCATGTCCCCATCTCTGCCTCCATCTCTGGTGTCGCTGCTTCTGGATAGGGTCCTGTGTTCCTCTTGTGCTCTTCTCACTTGATGGTCCTAGGGTCCTTTGTTTCTGGACTGTAAGATTAACTACTCTCCCGTTTTTGTTACAGATCTTCTACCTTTACAATTGAGACAGTCACAGTTTGTCATGATAACAATTACTGACTATTGAATTGTAAGAATCTTATCCTCATCTCTCTTCATCAGACCCATGTACACAAGATGAAAACTGTTCGGTGGGGACTCTATCTTCCCCCACACACTCTTTTTTTTTTTTTTTTAAAGTTTTTATTGTGAATTGAGTGAAAGTTTAGAGGGCAGATCATCAGTTTTACATTCAACAAATCATACAGTGTGTTTCATTACAGTGATTATAATCCCCTCCATGCACCATCAGTTAACAGTATTTCTCTATATTCATTTAGCTCTCTTTTTTTTAAACACTCAGGCATATATAATAATTTACACTATCAAAGGGCACATTCTACAAGTCTGCCAACTGGCAGCCAGCTCTCAGTCCCTCTCTTCCCGTGAATGTAGAGTCCTCAGCTGTTCCCTCTCTCCATGTCCACATCTCTGCCTCCATCTCTGGTGTTGCTGCTTCTCTGGATAGGGTCCTACATTCCGCTTGTGCTCTTCTCCCTTGATGGTCCTAAGGGCCTCTGTTTCTGGACTATAAGATTAACTTGTTAAGTGCTGTGGAGTCGATTCCAACTCATAGTGATCCTGCACAGGGTTTCCGAGGCTGTAAATCTTTATGGGAGCAGAATGCCTCATCTTTCTCCCGCGGAACCGCTGGTAGTTTCAAACTGCTGACCTTGAGGTTGGCAGCCCAACTCGTAACCACTATGCTACCAGAGCTCCTTGTAAGATTAACTACTCCCCCATTTTTGTTACAAAAACCTTTACAATTATGATAGTCTCAATTAGTCATCATAACAATTACTCACTATTGAATTGTAAGAATCTTATTATCCCCATCTCTTTTTACTAGACCCATCTAGACAAAATGAAAACTCTTCAGTGGGGACTCTTATCTTCCCCACCACCACTCTTAAACTAAACTCCCTCTTGAAAATTTGTAAGCCAGTCATTTCATGCCTTTATCGCCCCCTCATTTTAGGTAGCCAATGTCTAAGTTGCCCGTTTCTAGCTACCCTGTGTACAGAGGGGACAGCATTGAGAGTTGATGTGAAGATTCCTTCCCTCTTTGTTGGTATTTAGAGCTACTACCTCCATGAGTATAAGGAGCTCTGGTAGCGTAGTGGTTATGAATCAGGCTATTAACCTCAGGGTCAACAGTTTGAAGCTACCAGCTGTTCTGTGGGAGAAAGATGAGGTTTTCTGCTTCTGTAAAGATTTATAGCCTTAGAAACCCTGTACAGGGTCACTATAAGTCAGAACCGATTCTGCGGCACCTAACCACCACCACCATGAGTATAGGTCAATTTCATCAAATTGTACCAATTTACTCTCGTTTCTTTTATCAAAAAATTTTTTAAAAAAAAATCTTCTTCTAGTTTAGTTCTTATTATCAAGCCATCGAGGCTAGATCAAATGAGTACTATCTGCAAGTTTGGGTGTTCTTGTACATCTCCCCTCATTTCGTATCAGTTGGACTCTTCCCTCTCAGCTCTAGCCCTCTGTGGCTATGACCTTGTCCATGTGCTCGGGTGTCTCCAGGTCTCACCACACTTTGGACTAACCAGCCCTTCCTCTTCTCTCTCTCATCTCCAAGTCAACTGGAGTCTATGGAACATAGTTGAACTCAGCCAATTTCTTCATTGCTCTCTTCCCCCCTCTTCCACTTATCAGTAGACCAATGTGGCTGCCAGCAAACTTACATGCCTACTCATGTGTTCCCTTTGAGTTTCAGTCTTAGAGGGATGTTTGACCTGGAGGGACTTGGTTGCTTATCTTGATGGCTTCCTGTTGAACAACTTGCTTATTCTTGAAGTAGCCAGTCATACTGCCATTTTTGTTTTGGGTTTTTCCTGATGAACTTTCTTTGAAGATGTATCTTCTGTTGCTCTAGCTGTTCCAGCCTGGTTCCTATGGTAGCTTTGAACAGCTGACCTTGCAGTTGGTAGCTGAATGCCTACTCACAGGGTCACCAGAGCTCCTTAAACCAAACCAAACCCACTGCCATATGAGTTAATTTCAACTTACAGAAACGTGGCACTGCAGGTTAATGTGCTGGTCTGCAAGCTCAGTTTGAACTATAAGGTTGGTGGTTCAAGTTCACCAGCTGCTCCTTGGAAACCCTAAACAGGGTTAGTATGAATCAGAAGAGACTTGATGGCACTTAACAACAACATATGATAGAATATAATTGCTCTCTGTGATTTCTGAGAAGCAAACAGCCTCATCTTTCTCTGGAGAAGCAGCTGGTGGGTTTGAACTGATGATCTTGTGGTTAGCAGCCGAATGTGTAACACACTGAGTTACCTGGGCTTCTTTTCCTTAAACCCACTGCCATTGAGTCAATTCTGACAAAATCTCCATCCTTTTAATTTTTATATGTTACCCTTCCCAGGATTTGTTTGCTTTCTTCACCCTCTACTATTCTAAGTTGCCTGTAAACCTCCACCTTTGCTCATGTTGTGTTCATTCTCTAGAATGTTCCCAGGCTCTACTGGACAAATCCTTTTAGCTTTCAAGCCTCAGCTCAAGTCTGCCACCTTCTGGAAGTCTTTCCTCATGACCTCTGCTGACTACTTCAGAAGTATTACGTCTCATCTCCTGGGCTCCCCATATATCATTGGCATTACTTTTGTAGCTGTTAGCCTGTTAGCTTTGTGTCAGAGCTTTACTGGATGCATCTCCTCCTTTTTGGAGATTGTGAATTCCTTGGGGACAGGCCCAAGCTTAATTTGTCTCCGTAGTATAGCCCAACATGGGCCTTATACTGTGAGCACTCATTTCTGTCATCCACTGACCAACATCCTGCCTTAAAACAGGCAGTAGTCCTTCTTTGAGAATCTGAGAAATAGTCACAAGGGAGTTTTCATACCTACCC